ACCAGCGGCTCAAGCACATGGTGACGGACAAGATGCACGCCCGGGCGACCGGGCCGCGGTCGATGCTCACGCGGCAGCCGACGGAGGGCCGCGCGCGGCGGGGGGGCTGCGCGTGGGGGAGATGGAGCGCGACTGCATGGTCGGCTACGGCGTCGCGCAGCTTCTGCACGAGCGGCTGCTGCTCAGCGCGGACCTCTTCGCCGCGGAGGTCTGCGCGGGCTGCGGGAACCTGGGCTACCGCGGGGTCTGCCCGTTCTGCCGCCGCCGCGCCGCCACCGCGAAGGTGAACATGCCCTACGCGTTTAAGCTGCTCATCCAGGAGCTGCAGGGGATGGGAATCAGCATGCGGCTCATCCTGGAGGGATAAGGGGGGCTCCCACCTGGGGAATAAATTAAGGCCGATTAAAAAAAAGGGTTCGCTTGACGGAAACGGGGGGGATCGTCGGACCCCTTTCCTGACAACGCATCCACACGCATCGTGCGGCACATGGCGAAGGGGTGACCAGGATTGCCGGGGTAGATGGGGCCTCCTATAACAAACCGACTTTGCTTCCTTCTTTCTATGAGGTTTATTTTCGATAGATTTTGTTTTTAGACCTAACAGTGTAGTGCTCTTTTACGAGGGTTTAGTTTTCGCAACCATGTCAAATACGCAATTTCATCCCCTCATCGAGATTTGCCAAGATCCCGATGCGATCAGTGAGGTGGCGCGCCAAAAAATTATACAAATACTCCAGAAAGGTCGCCCAATCACCATCGCGCTTTCCGGTGGCTCCACACCCAAGAAGTTGTACCACACCCTCTGCAAGGACCTTTCTCTTATACACAATAACGTCACCTTCTTTCTAGGCGACGAACGTCTTTATCCGGTTGAAAACGACCAAACCAACTATCATATGGCCTTTCAGGCGCTTTTGCACAAGGTGCCGTCAAATCAGGTGATTGGCGTGGATCCGACCGCGGCGATTGCGACTTCGGAGGATGAGCGAGGCGGCGTAGCCGGCGCCCTCGCCGCCGCCGAGGACTACGAAGCCAAGCTTCATCAGCGCCTTCCCCTCACCCGATGGGTGGAAAACGGCAACGACATGACGATGCCTGTGATTGATATTGTTTTGCTAGGATTCGGATCGGACGGGCATACCGCCTCGATATTTCCCGACTCCATCGCGAGCAGAGAGACGGCGCGAACGGTGAGTATCGCATTTCCAAGCCCCTCGATGCGGCCTAAGGTATGGCGCGTGAGCATCACCCCGCATGTGATCCAAAATGCCCGTCAGGTTATCGTGCTCGCCGCGGGGAAGGATAAAAACTGGGTGATAAAGGGTATTTTAAGCGAGGAATGCCCCTCCGAGGCCCCGGTCTCTCGCTTCTTGCGGGGCTGCAAAGGGGAGGTTTTGTTTGTGCTCGATCGCGAAGCCGCAGCGGATATTTAACGGCGGTCTTTACCAAAAGCTTCAGCTTTGTCAACCCGATGAGTTTCTAACGAAGTGGGCATGATATCGATGCCTAAATAATACCGCAAAAAGAGACTTTCGGTGAAACGGAGCTAACCACAGGAGAGATAAACCCTAAGAAATGCATGGTGGGTTGTTCCCTTAACCGTTTGCGTGGGGAATGTGTTCTTAGGACTGCATCTGTGCTCCTTTTACAGTTTCTATTTACTTTTTTTATTATTATTATTTATCCTCTTCATGACGAAATCCAAGTAGATAGTTATTTCTGACAGGATAAAGAAGATGGCTACCTCCTTGGTTTGAGTAAGCCTCTTAAAAAGATTTGGGAATAAAATTTCTCGCACATGCGGTGAGACAACACGACGCATGTGTTTTTAACCTACCCGCCTTCCAATTTCCTCAGCCGTTAGGGCAGTTTGTCGTCGAAAAAAGATCCATTGTGTGAGAAAACTAAGAGCTCCGACAACGCCACGAGATTGGCATGGGTCGTCGTTAACTATATCAATGGCATAACTCTTTCATTTCCAGGTTAGTCAACATACAAAATGTGTACTTCGTAAACATTAAAGCAATGCAACGCATAATTATATTCAACTCGAGTCCTTTCGTTTATCATGGCATTAAAAAATAACGATATTCGGAAAGTAATCCAAATGAATAATGATTTGTGTATGTACTTTCTCTTAATACCAACGAAAAAAAGACTAACTAGGTATACATGGAAATTCACCGTCTATGTGCTCCAACCAAAGATGCGATACCCCTCTATTTTTTACCCCTTTTAGAATGTATGCAAGTGATTACAATTGAAGAAAGTCTGGAATCCTACAAATTATACTTTAATCAAAATGTCCTCGCATAATTTAACAAATAAAGAAACCTACTTACTCCAAAACACAACACAAGGTTTAAGTATAATCCTTGAGAAGCCATCGACGTCATCCAATTTCCTGATGTACAATCGCCTTTGCTCAGAGTTGGATCACAATTGTTTGATCCAACCTATTAATGAGGCTGAATTCGACAGTGAAACACAGGTATGCGTGGATAATAAACTAAATGGCTTCACGTCATTTTATGATCATTATACGACCAAACCTACCAAAAAGAAAGGTCTTGACATCGAGTGTGAACACCACTTACCGAGCAAAAGTGATCAGATTCAGATGGATTTTCTCCAAGTTCCACCTCAAAAAAATATACCAAATGCTACCATTCCTCCGCATTCGTTGAACGATCCTGTAGTTCGTCGTTTGGCAACTGGGGCGATGCCGCCTTTTTCTTGAATTAATGTAGTGTGATACAATTCTGAAATATGCTTCTGCATAGATCTGGTGAAGACAATCAAGCAGTAAATTTAGATGTAGAGCGTCTTCCCGTTATTTTGGTCGTTTCGATCTGCTGCTTTCCGTATCGTTGCGAAAGAGAAAACTTTGTTAAACCGTTTTGAATAAATAATTTTCCTTTTGAACATCAAAATTTACGTTCTTTTTTTACATTTTTAATTTTTTACCAGTGAATTGTATAGCAAGATCGATGAAACACTCATGTGGATATAATGCGCCTTTGAAAGGATGTTTCTTTTTCTAAACAAATAATATTCACAAAAAGTTAGGCCCTTTTTTTTTGAATAGCATTGATATTTAGAAAATTACACCTTATCACTGCATTGTATTCAAATTAAAAAAAAAGTATTCCTTCCTTTTTCCTTCGTAGCTTCCCTGTGTAGTATTTAATATTTTCAGTAGTTTAGTCGACAATGATGTTGGGGGGGTGATAGTAGCCTCGTTCTGATTTTTTAACCGATAAAATTGCCGCAAAAGTTTTCTGTGCCACTGAGACTACAAAAAATGACGCTGAAAGGATAACCTTAGCATAAGATAAAGTGTCCGGTGACCTTTAAAAAGCAAATTGTCGCATTTTAAAAAGTACATATGACTGTGCACCCATGTTTCAGAGCTTAACTGGTGCACACTTTCTATCTTAACGATTTAGCTTTGCACATGTGTTTATCGGAAATTGAAATTCATGGTTAACAATCAAAAGCCTTGTAAAAACTATTCACTGAAGAGTTGGGTATAGGAGGAGGACACGGCTAAGATGTTTGGCTTTCTAATGTGATTAGTGGGTATTTTTCGCTAACTGGGATTTCATATTTTTTAGGCAACACAAGTTAGAAAAATATTGCAGCGATATGAGAATTTTTCATACTATGACGCGTATCAGAGGAGGAGGCAAGCGATAAGTGTCCAGGAGTCGTCCGCTATTTGAATATCGCAATGCCCCGCTACGCAGTACTGATTAAAAAACAACAAATGAGTGCAGCGAGCAACCAAAGAATATTAAGCATCAGCTGTAGTGGAAATAATGCTGAAGGCGATGCATTTTTCATTTGTGGACGATGCCCGAAGGCCTACATTCCTCAAAGCCAGGAGGTGTAGATAAGGGGATGTTCCAAATGAAAACATGTCCCAGGGCAGCAAAACTATGCATTGAGCTGAAAAAAAAACTTGTATTCATTTTCCCGTTGACAAGACACAGAATCCAGGCGGATTCTGCCCCCACTCCCCCTGGTTTACAAGTATTGCTGCAGGGATTTTTCAGACTCAAAACCATCAACTTGTGCATGCGCCGTTCACATGGAAAGCGCTGCCTGCAAGTCTTTGCTATCTGACAAAGACTGCCCACCGCAATTCGCCCCCATATCCTCGTTTGTGTGGGCTAAAAAATCAAAAGCTATCCAATGGTCGCCTTTCCGCGCCCCAACGTTTTCCTGCACTCAAAGTGATTCATAAATATTAAGCGAGAATAGGCTCTCACCGAAATTCGACTCCGCACCGCGCCTTTGGTCAGCGGTTTTAGGATCGGTATGCCAGAGGCCCGAGCCGTCCTCCGTTCCCCTTCTCGGCGCGTTGGGGGCAAGTGGACGCGGGCACGTCAGTGGGGAAGCGATCCCAGCCCGGAGCCCGTTCAGGACGATCTCGCCTCCCCGGCCCCTGTATGGCCAGGGGGGCGGGGGCCTCCCACGAGGACGGGGCGGATTGAGGGGGACATCTTTGCCCGTCGGCCGGGGCCGCCGCCTCCGTCGGGATGCTGCCCTTCCACGGCCAGTGGAGGGGACGGTTGGGGGACGCCATGAGCGGGGGATGTCAAGGGGGGGGAGGAAGGAGGGGGGCAAAGACCGCTGACGACAGCTGAGGGGCCGAATCCTGACCGGTGGGGTGGGGGGATGACTTCATGGAGTGCACGCAACGCCACACCCGCGTGTGTTGGCAAAATGAGCGCTGTCCTACGCCACCGTCCTCCACGGCGATAGCTTCCACCTACGGGATGTAATTTGGGCATTTCTCCTTTACTCTTTCTTAACCTGCGCGACGTGTTTCTCTGCCACCCCCTTCATGATTAGTTCTTGGGTTCGGCCCTCGTCCCCGTGCTCCACATTTCTGTAGCAAGAAAAACCCGATTTAAGACTTCTTCGATAGAACCGCATGGGACACCAGGCGGGAGGGAATCAATGACAAGTGAATTTTAGAATGAAAGACTGCTAAAACGAAATTTGTGACTTATATACGGTGTTTTTACTCTTGTTTGCCGAACTTACACTGTGATTACTTTCCATTATTGTCCCCCCCCTTTTCCTTTTCAACCAGTTTGTTTCGTTCAAAAAAAAATAATCAAAATTCTTTTCATTTAGCAAGGAATATTTAAGTTAATTCATATCTCACCCTTGGGGGAAATTCATAAGAAAACTAGGACAATGTTCTCACCAACAACATCTCTACTAAAGAGACTAAGGATGTCTCCTAGAACTCCCATAGGATTGTTTCTCAGTGTATTTTTTATTATCTATTTTATGTTTTACTTCAATAAAATGAAATGGTATCCATTTCCACCATCGGTTCTTCCACTTGGTGGCACCCCAGATATGTTTGTTCGCACCGAAGATACTCGTGCGCTGATCTTCGTCATGAGTAATAAAATTGATGATACACTTTGTTATTCTATAGGCTCTGCTTACCTGAGCGGGCTGCCCGTAGTCGTAGCCGGTTATGATATGCCGTATCATGGGTATCTGTCTAAGTTTGACTTCCTAGAAAAGGCCATCGAGAATTTGAAGTTGAAACAAAATGAAGTAATCATTGTGATGGATTCAGACACAATTTTCACTGGTATGGATTTGAATCCACTCCTCGATCGTTTCGTCGAGCAGTCTGCGGCAACGCCAGAGGAGCTAGACGCGTTGGCGGTTCGGCAAGGTCGTGCGATGGCCCCATTCATTGTTTCCGGTGAGATTGCCTGTTTTGCACCGTATGTATTTAATAATTTGAGCGAATGCAGGCCTGGCTTTCAAGTTGTCTATAATAAGGTACGTAAGTATGCTGCTGCACACCCCGAGCATAATATTCCGTTAACTTTTGACCTATCACCACAACACCACCTAAACTCAGGTGTGGTGATTTCCCGTGTGTGGGCGTACAGGGAGTTCTTGCAGAAGGCGATGAATTTAACAAAAACAATAAAACCACGAACAAAGGATAAAAATATATGGGCATGTGATCAGTCCGTTTATATAGAACTCTACATAGATCTCATAACATTAGAAGTTGAGAAAGATGTTTTCTCGATGCCGATACATCTGCGACAGGCGTTTCGGTCCACCTACGGTATACGTGCAGGATTAATGGGGTTAGACTACGTCAACGTTCTTGCGTTTTCTGGTTTGGAGGCAGTTCTATTTTCATCCCAGATGCATAATGAACACTGGGCGAAGTACCTGCCATTGAATAGACTCAAGTACTCACACACACAGGACATGACGAATATCGTGAGTGAAACTCGGTTTGTGAACGATCTTTACTGGCGAACGTACGCCGCACACGGTAAAAAAGTTTACACCAATCGGGCGATGCCCAAATGGGTTGGCATTAAAACGAATCGTTTGAACGTCACCCTCGCGCCGCCGCTGTTTGCGCTCAGACCAAGGCCCATTGACGTGGTCAGCAACGAAGTGCGTCGAACGTTCCCGATCATTTTCCACGCACCAGGGGTCAAGCCAGGTTTTTCAAAGGTGAGCCTACTGGAGCGCGGCGCTATCAGCGCGCAGTGGTTAGTACCGATGGTGTATGATTCAAAGGAAAAACGTCATGGCATGGAACACCTAGCATCCGCGCCGTTGTTTCTGTCAACGAATTCATCCATCATTCGATATTCCTACAGCGCCAAATGCGGCTTTCCATATGAAGAAACAATTGCAAACATAAAAAAAACTTTGGACTGAACGCTTTGTCTGTCACAATAACTAGGGTACCCCTCTTCGATATGCTATTTAATTAGTCGTCACTATTCCTTGGAGATAATAATCAAGCAGTATTTGCAGTTCGAAATAAATTCATGTCCCGGGACATCAAAATGATGAAATGAATTAAAATAAAATATGTAAAGAATTTACGGTTACAAAAACGTAGAATCCGCTTGGATTCTGCCCTCCCAGAACCTTGAAATTTTCACTCACCAGGCAGCAGAATTCTGATGCGCCCCTGCTGATCTTTCCGGCGCCAGGGATCCCC